TAAAAAAAAGCTCAATTCCAATCAATGAGGACTATTAGTATGTCATTATACATATTTTAATTCAACTTTTAAAAAAACAAATTTGGTTGGGAATTTTTTCCGCTATTTTTCCTTTGTTGACTGGCCTAGATGTCAATTTTAAACTTGTAATTAAGCTAAAAGTTATGGTAATATATTCAATTTTTTTTACTTTAAACTTTCATGAATCTTTATCAAAAAAATTTTTCATCAATTTTAAAGAACCAAATAAATTGGTTAAAATTGAAAATTTGGACTGATTATTTTTAACATATTAAAAATCAAATCAGTAATAATTTGAAGTGATAGAAAAAGTCTACTTGCAGATTTGAAAACAACGCGAAAAATTGATTTAGAAAAGTATATTTTTGCTTCTTAATTATATTTGTAAAAATCAATTGTTAATTCAGGAGAAAAAACAATAATTTTTTTTAAAAATGATTTATATAGCAACATGTTACAAAAAAATTTGTAATATTATAGTCTAGTAGTAGCACACACAAATAGAGTAAAAAAATTATTAAATTACAAAGTAAAATGATTTAATTTTGTAGTTGAAACCTATAATATCAAACTTCATTCGTTAATAAATATTTTGAAAACATTAGAAATTAATGATTTTAATTGTCTTTATGGAGACCATATAATAACTAACTGTTTAATTGATAAATTAGAATTTATTTTTCAATTTTTGAGGGTAATATCTTCAACTAGATACGAATTGTAGTCATTTGACGTATTTTTCATCAAAATCGGTTCAGTGAGAGCTGAGATTGAGCGTATACAGACACAAAAAAAAAAAACACATCATAGTAAAATTAATACTTTCTCAGCTTCGCATCGAAGCTAAAAAATGTATACTTAATTAACTTGTTATTAGTGAGTACTACAGTACTGGATTTGATTTTTTTTCTCTTATTCTTTTGAGCAATTTTAAAAATTTTTAATTACAAATATTTTTATTCTGTTTAATTTGTGCGTTGTTAAATTTAATTTATTATTATGGCTGACCCTAATATTCAAACTAGAGATAGAGCTACCTTAAAGCGTACTGTGGCCATTAAAGGCATAAGATCAATCTTAGAGGTAGGAGTTAGTGCAGTATCACAACCTAACTTGGTGAACAAATTTGTGGCTATGGCTCATGGTGTTGAAAGGTTATGCCATTTTTATCATAATTTACCACTAATTACACAATTATATAGGTGGAATGGTATATGCATTTAATAGTTTTTTAAACTTAACAAATTTAATTAAACATCATTAATCTTATCCTCGAAATATCTGTTGTCGCTCATTGTAACCACACCTATTATAAGTTACTAACTAAACATATGTGACAGTCCGATATCTGATAATTCTAAACTAATAATAATTATTACAAACAAATAAAAAATAATAAATGATAATAAAATATTTAGAATACAAGTGGGACGGCAATGAGTTTTAATATAGTTAAATGGAGAGTTAAATAAAAATAATATCTGAAGTTATTATCATAAATATGCTTACATTTAAGATTAATATTCTCCTATTTGACTTCTACTATTAAATTTTAATAGTAGAAGTCAAATAGGAGAATATTATGGGATACATCCCTTGTTGAAAAAACCCATTTAGACATTTCTGTAATTCTTTTTTAACTTATATGATATATTATAGAAATCTTATATATGGTTCAATCCATACTAAATTATCCAGAGTCGTCGCGCGACCATTTAAAATTTTTTTGAAATTTCTCACATGAGTTGTCTAGTATTTAAGTAAAAAAAATTTATTAGATGAAAGTAGTTTTACGACCTGTCAAAATTTTGAAATTGTAAAATACCGGCATTTCGTAAAAATATCCCTGAAAACTATGTATTTATACAGTCGATGTATAGTATTGCTAATGGGCTGTTTTAATTTCAGCATGTCAGGTCAGAGAAGTTGCGAGCGTGACGAGCTGGTACGCGATCTCCTCCGCCGGTTGGCGGAGGCACTCGACGTCCCGCTGGCTCACGTCCCGGCGATCCGTGCTACGGTCGAAGCGGCCTGGAACGCACCGTTGCACCAGATCCTTAGAGACCCGATTGCCAGTGATTGACTGATGGCTTGGTGGGGGGGGGAGTTGACACGGCACCGCCCGTCGCTCTAGGCTGGCGCTCACCCATGTCTCACGTGATATCAGCCGTCCAGCTATTAATATGACAATCTGTTGTCTCCCCGCCCTTGACACCGAGATAAGGCCGCCGCCGAGTATGGATTACGGATATTGCGTTCTGTTTAGTGATCGGAATTTCGGGTCAATCGAACGATCCGGATCGTTTGGATCGGATCGTTCAAATGACCCGTTTATATAACTCGTTCTTTCGTTCATTTCTTACGATCGGTCACGGTTCTTATCAATTACTCCTTACTATGGTTTTCCTGAACGAGTCGTTCAAATTCGCATTTTCATCATGTAACATTACCGTGATATCAGAATTTTTACTGATAATACACTTGTATAATCGGGTTATATATTATTTTTTCAAATACAAATTACTTGAAATAACATAATATGCTGTTATACACGAATATTTTTGTATAGAATAAAAACAAATAATTTATACTAGCGGATGAGTTGCGGTACATAAATCCATAGAATTTGTTTCTATAATAAGCGAAATCATTTAAATTATTTGTTTTCATAAAAGGAGTTTTATAGAGAAATTAATTCACCTAAATCAGATATTACAATTTACAGCAGCTATGACCAGATTATAAATTGATTTATATATAAATTGTTAAATTTAATTTATTATTATGGCTGACCCTAATATTCAAACTAGAGATAGAGCTACCTTAAAGCGTACTGTGGCCATTAAAGGCATAAGATCAATCTTAGAGGTAGGAGTTAGTGCAGTATCACAACCTAACTTGGTGAACAAATTTGTGGCTATGGNGCCTAACTTGGTGAGCAAATTTGTGGCTTAGAATATAATTATTGTTATTTATCACAGATGAAAATTTGTTTGTCTTCATTTAACAGTTAAGGCCTTGTGATCTCAGTAGCCCTTTCACGCTTTTTAATTAACTCTTCCATATAAACTTCATCGTAATACGAATTATTTAGGTCATGTTGATCACTATTTTCAATATTATAATGTACCTCTTTTTTAATCATTTGAAATTTACAATAGAAAAGAGATTTTTTAGTATTTGACGAACATAAATCATGGTCTAATGATTTCAATTTATCATTGTCTTTGACACGGTCCCGCGGTGTTCTCGATACACGGAGCCCCGCGACCCGTGACACCTTTATCAGCCGTCGCCCTACCACATGCATATGGTAGTTTGACTGACTAAAGCCCCCCATACACGGTCAGTTTTGAATGACAATCAACGTGATTGAAATTCATGATTGACCGTGTATATGTATGACTGATGACGACTGACAGTCAAATTTTGTGACTGATGAAATTCAAACATGTTTGAATTTTTATTATCAGTCAAGATGATTGACATTCATGATTGACCATGTATGTCTATGAATGTACATTTTATCAGTCAATTAAGTCAAATTGTGTGAACCAGTCGTGTCTTTTTTGTCTTGCGTATTGCCTTTTCTTCAAAAAATGGCAAATAAGGTGAATAATGAAGAATTTTGGCGCGAATTTATACATTTATACCGTAGTTTACCTGCTACGTGGAAAATAAAAAGTGATTTGTACAAAAATAGAATTTTTAAGCAAGAATGTTATGTACAATTAACTAACAAATTAAAAGAAATAGATCCAACGGCTCACAGAAATACAACAAAAAAAAAATCAATACATTGAGATCAAATTATCGTCGTGAGTTGAAAAAAGTTATAGGGAGTGAAAAATCCGGTGCAGGTACCGACGATATATACATGCCGTCGGTTTGGTATTTTGAAGAGTTGGAGTTTTTACGGGACCACGAAATGCAAATACCTGGAACATCAACAATGGATGAAGAAATTAATGATCCTCAAGGCGTAACATTGGAAAATACAGTACGTAATAATATTATTATACATAGATATTTATTATTATGGAATATTGGTTAAATTTAGTTATTTTTTCGAAGTAAACGTGTTTGTGGCGTATCTATTTTAAAATACACATACCCATATGCTGGTCATATAAATAACAATAAAAAAANCCATATGCTGGTCATATAAATAACAATAAAAAAAAATAAATATTGAAGTGTTTATTCAAAAAATGATAACTATTACAAATGAAAATACAGTTGATGTGTGTTTGTGGGGCCACCTCACTGAGGTGGCCCCATGGTTTTTTAGGGTACCTCATTGAGGTTCCGCCACCTCTT